ATTTACTTTACACAAATTAAAACTTAAAACACTAATAATTAAACACACTAATTCACTTTATTCCGCTCCGAAGCTTCGCTTGTATCGCCAATTGCAATACTGCCCCGATCGCATTTTGCAGCGCCTATTTATATAAATTAGCAAAGAAGCATCCGGAATATTCAAGTAAATGCGCGCAAAGGGACGAGTGTGCGAGTGTAGATTTTCTAGAAACTTAGTTCTTCGGATGGCGCTGTCGGTTGAGAGATTTGTGATGTCATTTTCTGCAAAGCTCCCCTCGCTCTCGTTTCTGACACTAGATGGCGCTAGTTGACTTATTCACGTAACAGTACTAAAGCAAAGCCCGCCTGTCCTTGAAAATTGTAGAATGTATAGCGACGCTGACGTCGGTGGGTAGTGACTGCGAAGTTAGCTGTTTGTGAGTACAAGTAGGGGAAGCTAGTTGAACAATGTACATATTTTCATTTCATTTTTAAGGAGAAAATTTTCTTGATGTTCCGTAATTTTTTAATTTTTGACAAAAAGAAACATTAAAAAATGGAGAAATATTTTATTGTGCGTGGATGTGCAAGTGGTTTAGCATCTGATCGGAAAAATAGACTGAAAATGACTTTTATTGAACGAACTTAGCGATCGCAGCGCCTCACTTATGGTGTCCATATTTCTGAGACACTATTTACGGTGATCGTTCTCCTGTTCTCTAACCTTCATGCTTGTAATAAACATGTCAAACTTCACTAATCAATAAAAATGGCAGCTTACTGCCATGACGGGTTTTTATTGTGTGCTGCAATTTCAAGTGTAATTTCCTGTGCTTTATCAGCAAACAAAGCCATTATAAAATAATTGGACAGTTGAGAACCGTTTAATAATGTTTCCCTATTTTTGAGTATAGTGTACAAGGACCTGGCCCAGGCTTCATACATTTTGGAACATCTCATTTACTATATTACTATATAAATTTACTACGTCGACGTCGCTATTAACCAATGCGATGCGCCCTCCATCAAAGACTTCTATGTATACTATGAGACGAGCACTACGGTACTGATACATTGCGCATTAAGTCAAGGTCAATGCACCGTAACTTGTTTAGTCGCCTGCGGGCAAGCGAAAAGACTAGTTCTTTGCTTTGAAAATCTCTAACATTGTCTTCGATAACCTAACACTGATCTCGTTTAATGTGATAAAGAAAACGGTGTCATTATTTATGTGCGCATTTTGTAAATGTGATTTGAAGTTAATTTCAGATAAAGCAAAAACTTTATTTTTTATTTGCCCAAAAACAGTAACTATCGTAAATGAAAATACAACTGCTGATCGGCGTACATAGAAGTCTTTGGTCTCCATTGCATATTTATTTTCACTTACCTAATATACAGGCTTATTTTGAAATAGCCGATCAAATTTACAGGGAAGATTCAGGATAAGTAATATAGGCAAATGATGAAGAAAAAATAATTAGAAAAATCTCAAACATTATATCATTTTTCTGCGCACGCACACATTCGTAAGGTCGATCGGTAGGCAAAAACGTTGTTGCCCATAAATCACATTCAACTTGGGATAATTTCAAATAAAAGTAGAAGCCTTATTTACTCGTATTTTCAAAAACTTTAATAACGGTATATCATTATTTGAACTTAAGTTTAAAATTTGGCTACTCTTTGAAAAATAACCATGTGAGTATAATGATGATTGTTTATTTATATTGATAGATATTTTATTATGTGCTTTAATGAAATTATACTGTTATTTTACTATTCCAAACAATTTATTGATTTCATTCGTCCATTTATCATTATAAATTAATGAAATTACTAAATTGTATCATAAGTTAAAAAAATGAAATTATTTGTTGGTTTACGATTGCCAAATTATTTAGTAATTTCCAAAAGTCTATTTAAAAACTATCCATTGTTTGAATATTGGATAGACATTGTGATTATTGTAACATTCCTTGATATATTTCAACGTGCAACTTAGCTGTAACTTAAGTAATAGACTTTATTTTAAAATTACTTAAGTTATACGTCCATAGGCTATATTTTTGGGAAACAGCTAGCGATACCCACTTGTGGGATTTGTAAGGCCAGCCACATACCTACGGAATTCCGATTCGGGATTCCGAACGCAGCAAGTCCATATAAAATCAATGACCTTGTCACACACCTACGGTAGTATTCCGTACGGAATTTTGCGGGCAAAACGGGAATCCGTATGTGTGTGGCCGATCCGTTCGTTTCGTTTTGGAATTCCGAAACGGAATTCCGAATGTAGTATGTGTCGGGCCTACAGCCTGCTCACAAGGACTCTGCGCGTGGTTGGTGGTTGTAACAGTACCACACCGGGCTCTAAAGTCAAATGCGCTCATTGATTAAGAGAGTTTTGGATGGTGCAGCAGCTGGCACAGCTGTGTGTGTCATTAGCTATGTAGTTTCGGTACCATATGTCTTCAAGTACGAAGGACAACTCTCTTTAGCTACCCTACCAGCTGAGTGAATGGTGCTACATTCGTCGCTATCTATTCGCCGTCATGATCAATATTTGTGACGGCCCACACCAGTTTGATTTTCCCAAGATCTGTATAGTGTGGCAAAGCCGGCTTGTTGTTCCAGGTCTTGTGCCATGATGAGGTTTTATGCGTACTCCGCCCAATACATTAAACCTTTGTCTGTAAGAGAGTTTTCTGCTATCCACTGGAATTTACGCTCATATGAACGGGTCTTAATCAACTCAATGCTGCGCGCGTGGATGGACGAAATTGACGAGTGGGAACGTGTCCTACATAGTTTAAGAAACATACCCGGAACTTTGTTGAGGATGCATAAAATACGAATCAGAGACTGAGAAATCAAACTGATGTGGACCATCACAAAAATTGATCACGATGGACGAACCGAAAGCGACGAGTGTAGCACTGTTCACTACTGGACTGAGGCTGTTTCATCCATAATGGGTAGAGTTTAAGCCAGGGCCCTCCCGGGAGCAACCTACCGTGCGGCGGGTTATCAACCTGGGGATTAATCATCCCATAGGCTATAAGTTTGACACCCTACGGACTGTTATTGATTGTGCGATAGCCCTCTACACCTTTTTCTTGAGCACCTTTTTTCTTATATAAAATGTGTACGAATTTAACTTAAACATTTGCTTGATTAATTTAATTTATTTCAAATAAAGATGTCGCTTATTATGAAAACTTGCCATTGTGTTATATAAACTGATGATGTTTTGATACTCGCTAAGGGCCGGTTTTTTGATCCGTAGTTAAGGCGACCAATGGTTAAAAATAACGACCAATGGTTAAATTTTTGTAAAATCCGTTTTTTGACCCATAGTTAGCACAACCAGTGGTTAAATAAGTAACTATTGGTCACAAAATTTAACCACAGCTCCAACAAGGGATTAGCAAGATGGCGGCTAGTTAACTCTCGCATTATCAGCTGTTCTCACTTCTCAGTGTTGTTTGCTCGTGTGATTTTAGTGTGGATTTTAGTGAAAAGTGTTACAATACAGATTTTCTGTGTTATTAATTATGAATTTAAACATAACGAGATACTTCGACATTTCAGAAAGTTCATCTGATGATGAAATTGTTGCGGAATATGTTTTAATGAGAAGACCAAAGGTATTCAGACCACGTAATCCGCCCCTGGGGCATTGGGACGAAGTAGACTTTTGTCAGCGCTACCGTCTATCTAAAGAAAGTGTAATTTGGATCATCAGAAACATAGGAGACGAGTTAAAAAGACCAACTGAAAGAAATTATGCAGTTACGCCAATGGAGCAATTATTGCTTACTTTAAGATTTTATGCCACTGGGAATATGCAACAATGTTCCGGTGATCTGTCTGGTGTCTCAAAATCCACTGCCTGCAAAATAATTCATGCTGTATCAAGGCACATTTGCTTAAAATTAAAATATTTTATTGCAATGCCTCAGACGGCTGGAGATGTCGTTGAAAGTTTTTTCAATATAGCAAAATTCCCAAGTGTTGTTGGTGCAATAGATTGTACCCATATACGTATTGCAAGCCCAGGTGGAGATAATGCGGAATTGTATAGGAACAGAAAAAGATGTGTTTTCTATAAATACTCAAGCCATCGTCGATTCAAAACAAAAAATTAGAAATTTAGTTGCTAGATGGCCGGGTTCAGTACACGACAGTACAATTTTTAATAGCAGTGCAGCCAAAGATTTAATGATATCTCAAAAGTTTGGCAGATGCTGTCTTTTAGGAGATAGAGGCTATGCCTTAAAAAAGTATTTGCTGACTCCTTTGGCCAACCCACAAACTGAGGCTGAGAGGCTGTACAATGAAAGCCATATACGAACAAGGAATGTGGTTGAAAGGACATTTGGTGTGTGGAAGAGGAGGTTTCCTTGTATAGGCACAAAATTGCGAGTGAAATTGGAGAATGTGCAAGCTATAATAGTGAGCACAGCAATTCTTCATAACATATGTGTAGACCGAAATGATGCTTTACTCGATGACTCTACCAGTAACCTAAACATCATTTTGGATGAAAACATTAATACAACATCACCTCCATCGACTCAAAGTGATCAGCAATATCGGCAAGAATTAATTGATACATACTTTGTTTCTTTGCTCAACTCAGAATAAATGTTATATACATGATACATGTAAAGGAATGTATGTTATAAAATACATATAGAAATAAAACATATTTTAAAAATAATATCGTTTTTTAATCACAATCATAACTTACCTAAACTTATATTACATTACATTACACTATACCATATACTACTTTGCTTATATTATTAATATTAAATAGCTAATAGTGACTATTGTTCTGAAATACAGCTGCATTTCTTAATTTTTAAAATTTCTAATTTAACTTTTTCCAAAAGTAATTCTTGTATATTTTTCTTAAATACTACTTCGAGCTCATGCATTTCCTTTTGTTGTTCCATGTACAAAGCGTGCTTTTGTTCCATGAATTCTATTTCTCTTTTATATTTATCTGCTTTATGTGTAATATTTTGCTGGTGCTCTTCTTGTGCATATTTTTTTATTTGCTCTTCCCTGCTCTTTTTTTCGGTTAAAAACTCTTTTTTTCTCTTCAAAATGAGTTACGATACGTTTTCTGGCTTCAAAAGGAGTATAACATTTCTTTCTTTTGTTGTGAGGACTCGCTGTAAACAAAGAAACTATGAAAAGAATGTTATTTAAAATCAAATTACATCAGTCCCATTTTTGCTAAACCCTTTTAGAGACAATGTTATACTTTTATTTTTATACTGTACCTATGCTTTATATTGCAATAAATTTTATGAAACTTTATAAATGGAATAAACTTTTAATATTTATTAATAATAGACACAATGGGCTACTTTTTATACAAACATAAAATAAGATAAGCAAAGAAATTTTTCACAAATTACAGATCAAATCAATTATGATTGATTTAATTTTGACCTTGTGATTTTATAAATTAATTCATCTCTGTTTATAATAATAATTATTATGAATGTTTCCATTCACACAGTGCAGGGGACACTAGGATTCCCTGTGTTTCACTGTGTGTGAGGGTGGTAGCCATGTACATATAACCTGGACCCGAGTACAAAACAATTATCTGCCTCGGTTGGGATTGAACTCGAGACCCTCAGTATGATGTGGTACAGCTGCTAGTATTTGATACTTACATAATTGCTTTGAAATTGGTTTCCTGAGCAAAGCCTTTGGTGTAGAGTTGTCAAACGTTATATCAACCTTTTTTGAGTCTGCATCTGAAAGGCATGGATAGAAATAATGTTAGGTATCCCCAAGCAAAACTTGTGATGAACACTAATAACAATAAATTGTAATAGTTAAAAAAGTTCATGCTAGTAATCCTGAAGGTCCTGATCAGGACATTCAAAGATTCTGATACATAAATCCATAGATAAGTACCAAGTTAATAAGTAATAAACAAACCTGTCTCAATATCATCCAATACTTCTGTGTTTAACAAATTGTTGCACTCATTTAAGGAAGTATTTGCAGTACCACCTAAAATAAAAATATAGTTAATATTCTGAAAATAATATGCAATATATTTATATTAAATACATTTAACCTCACCTGCATCGGACATTTCGTTTTCCATTAAATCTAGAGATATGGTGCATTCTGCTGTGTTTGACATTTCAAGCGTTGTGTCACCATCAACTGTAAAACAAAGGTATTATTTAATGAGTTAATTGTTGTTCATGATTGAAATGTATTGTTTTTATGTCATTTTAAAATAATCTGCTATATCCAAATCCACATTATTATCTAATAAACTATCAAAACTGAAAAGCCAGGACTGAAAATTGGTATGATGTTGAGTCTATATTTTTCCAGGAGCTTATGTCGTAGTATAGTTGCATCAATGCAATAGACAAACACTCAAAACAATTATAATGTTATTATCATAATATAATCTCAAAAACAATAAGAGAAGTAGGTACATCATACCTAAAGCATCACTGTCATATATAGCGGGTAAGCCAGAAATTGACTCGCCCATAATAGTGTTTAACCATTCTGTTGTCTCTGATGGTTTAGGGGGTGGTGGTCCACCTCCAGTTTGTTTCCTACCATTTTTCTCTGCACTCATTTCCTGTAAATAAAGCATAATAATTATAGTACCTAAGCATAATTAAATTCCATCTTTTAGCTTATTTTGAAGATAAAGGCAACTTACTTTTCTGGCTATTTTTTTCATATTGTTAAATTTTTGTTGTAGTTGCTTAACATTTCTGTAAACAACAGCGTCCGAATTAAACTTTTCTGCTAGAGATCGCCACGCTGCATCTTTTTTGCTGGTTACTCGCGTGATCAGTTCTTTTGCTTGTAATTATCGAATAATCCTTGAGGAGGCATGTCAGTTTTACAGTCTCTTCTTTACTAAAATTGGTTGTACGATCTCTGAAACATAGGGTTAAAGAAAATTACTTAATACTTTTTGTTTACTACTCTCCTGATTATAGCATTACAATAAAACAAATGTTAAGACTTACTTGCTAGTTCCTGTTTTTTGCGATGCCATCATATTCGAATTTGCTATATATTCTGTACTTTTTCGTCACGATGTTAAAAATACCACGAGGCACAAATCACGATTTAATTAAGTACCGTTTTTTTGTGATAAAGAATCTTTATTACAAAATAATGACATTGACAACTTTGACACTAATAACAAGTACGATAAACGTCAAATGCGTCAGGCGTAGACAGTCTTGCCATGCAAAAATAATTACTCCCTACTGAAATTGGGGTCATTTAACACTCATTACAATGGCAACATATTTAACCAATGGTTAACATTACCAATAGTCAAAAAGAGATCAAAAAACAAACTCTTGCTTTAACTAGTGGTTAGCTTCTAACCTTTGGTCAGTTTAACAAATAGTCAACGTAACTTTGACTACGGATCAAAAAACCGGCCCTAAGTCTCTCTCGGTTACCTAAGCATAGACTAATAATTATCTGTAATATTTATATAATAGTCCCATAGAAAAGGAATTCGTTGAAAATTGTGTATGTATTCGAAATATTTTGATAGATTGTATAGTTTGGGTCAAAAACATTATAGAAAATATACATATTATTGTAAAATTAAGTAGAGTTGTTACCTTTTCAATAATTTCGAATCCTCTTGACTATCTGTCGTGACTCGAGTTTGAGTAACATTGGTTTAAACCAGAACTGAGAACATAGTCTTAGAAATAAATCATATTTCGATAGACTTCTTTGTATACTACGGGCTCTGTGGTGGTGGTAGGTGACGGTTAAATCTCCGTAACTACTTTCGTCGATTGCGACAGTATTTCTTTATTTTGCAAACCGCGAATGTTGATTCTGACAGTCTAACACTGATTTTGTTTAATATGACTAAGAAAACGCGGTCATTATTTACGTGCGCCCTTTGTCAACTTGATTTCAAGTTTATTTTAGATAAGTATGTAATAGCCTTTATTTCGTATTACTCTAAAAATCAGTATCCGGTGTAAATGAAAATAAAAAAGCCGGCGCTAGCGCGGTTTACAGCTGTTACACAGCCTTTTTCTGAATGCTGGTTTAGTAGTATACAAAGAAGTCTTTGTATTTCGATTTTTTTTAAATTTAAGACATTAAAATGTCAGTGCCGTGCCATGCAGTGGGACGTTTATAAGCAGTTACTTTTTATCAAAAATCAATTCTTAATAATTAATTTTTTGTAGTCGTAAGTAGGATCGAGCCAAATGTATTGGAAGTAGTGATAATCTTAAATAATAGATCGAGATATATCTTACTAATGGAATTTATCTTTTTTTGCAATACGCCTTATGTATTTTGTTATTTATAAGTACATAGAATGAAATTAAGAGAGTATTTAAGTATTGCTAAACAAATGTTTATTCGGAAATTATATATAAAGAGTGTTTGTTATATTTAGTGATCCTAAAGACTAAGAAGACACTTATTATCATAGTTTTAGTGTTGCTGTATGTAAATTTTAACACTGTGATCGGGTAGGTGACACCGTCATCAATAAAATAAATATTTGTATCGAAACTTGGTCGGTTTTCGATTTAAGTTTAAAAATATTCAAATTGGATCTATTTTAACTATAAAGAACTACGACGTCATTTACTCTCACTTACATACAATTTCTATTTATGTTTCGTTTTGCTTTATTAGGTACTTTGTTTTTACTATTTAAAATAATATATGGAAAGGACTTCCAGATGAAAATTATGAAATGTAATTTTTATCCGACGTATTTCTTTAGTAAACATTACTTATTTATATTAACATAAAACATTTTGTCAACTACCCTATTAATAATTTGTTTTACTGTTTAATTATATAGGAAAAGGAATTCCACATGAAAAAGAATGAATTGAAAGTTTTACCGATGTATTTCTTTATTAAAAATTACATAATTATATTAATATGAAACCATTTTGTAATAATATGGCTACATTGTAGTGACATTTTCATGTTGGCGCATATTTTGACACATTGTATTCCAGTTGTATTTTACCTTTGATAAGAGTTTTATTGCATTTGTACAGCATCTTATACAGATGAAATCGCAATGATTTGATAAAAATAAATAAGTAATATGAGGAAAGTTTTTTATTTCATTGCCCGAATTTCAGTCAAGCCACCAGTCTCAATGGAGACTAGCCCACTGCGCAGGACAGGATTGTAGATTGTAGTGTACGAGTGTATGTTAGTCTTGTGTAGTTCGCGAACGGTGAACGATTAGGAAACGTATCTTGGCACTGTACTAAAAGAAACGTTTCCGTATGCTGATTCTGAATCGGTCCAACAGCTCGAGCACAAATTAATAAGAAGTATTAGCGTAGACAAGAGCCAATGAATGTCTCTCTGATTCAGTCAGTGACTGACTGATAACCATTCTACACAGATAGATACAATATGAACAGGTTAACGGTACTGATGACCGAACAGAGCTAATAGAACAAACTAGTTCACTATCCGAAATGAACTAGCACAGAGCGATCTAAATGACCAAACAGGCACAAAACTAGTGTATGTGCAAGTACAGGTGCACTCTATTCCCTTACTCTCATAGTCCGCTGGGACCAGATCAAACAATGATCAATCAAGTCACGGCTCTGTCGTTTGTGATGTGGGAGTTTTTACGTTTTATATCAAACTGATGTGAGGAACGAACTTGCAGTCCACCTGATGGTAAGTGGCTAACAGTCCGTGGACACCTGCAGCCAACTGCAGGCTCACAAAGGAGACTACATATGCATTGTCATCTCTGAGGACTAAGATGTCATGCTTTCCTGTAATCTAAACACTGGCTCTGTACATTTCAGACTGGGACACAGCGTGTACGCACAGCTATTTGGCGACAGAAACAGACTGTTGTACCTACACCGACGGACTTCTAAGCAGAGAAAGGAGTCCTAATAGCTAGTTAGTTTAGTAAACATATTACACACGCCCACTGACCTGTATATACTTATACAAGCACACGCCTCATCGACATGTAGGGACGGACAAGTGATACGATCGCTGGCTAGCTTAACACTGTTTATTGTTCACACAATAATTAGCGGTGGGCGCAACCACGCACACATACCCTACAGACACAATGGGAATTCCTAAACTGCAGGGAATAAACTAAAACCTAAGAACCACGCTCTCACAGAATACCAGGGTCTCCGGATTTCTGCACTCACCATACGAAACACAGCAGCATCAACCTGCTATTTCACGCTGGTATTCTGTGAGGGCGTGGTCCTTCCTGGTCGAGCCGACCCATTCTTGCTACAGCTATACTATTAATATAACTGCAGCATGGCTCTACCACGTATAAAATGGTACTAAAAGAATTACCAAGATTGACAGAATGACGGCAACGATAAAGACTCGTTAATGACATCAGCTAGTTGTCAACGCTATTCTATATACAACTTCAACAAGTGGGGGGAGTTTAAACGCTTATTAGCCATCTACCCTCACTCTTGATAGTTAGGTATGATTAGGTAGCATCTTACCGTTACCGTAACAGCCTGTTAAAGTCCACTGCTGGACATAGGCCATTTGGCAATCGTGTTTTTTTATAGACGTTATTAAGAAGACGTTGCTGCCCATATTCTGGTTTGTTTCCATCTGTCGACTGTAACGACACCCACGGGATGATATGTATCTGTACCCTCACTACACGGTTAGGTAGCATTGTAGTCTATACAAATTAGGCAATATTCGTTATTAAACATTTTAAATGGGCATTAACGCGTTCTATCTTCTTTTTTGAACTTTACTCCCATGAGCACAGCGGTGGGAGTCGTGCAGCCGGTGAGGTCCACACCGTGACGTCTCATGTCCTCGTAGCGCAGCACGGCCAGCTGCTGGTAGCCGCACTTAGCCGCTAACACCTGGGACCCTCTCGCAGTGAACACTGTGGCCACTGCCTCTATGCCGAAAGCCTTGCAAATCGCCTCTCTGTAAAAAAAATCCATCATCATCATTACAGCCCTTCACAAGTCTGCTGCTGAACATTGGATGATTGGCGGTCCACAACTGTGCGATTTACTACAAGTTTTCGTCCTCGTACAAGTTCCTTATGGAATCGACTACGAATCGATTTGGGAAGTGGTTGTAAGCCTAACGATCATGGGGCCTAAGGTTCGAATCCAGGGTCGGGATAAATTAAGATATTGGGGTTTTCTGTTAGGAAATTCTCTGTAACAGCTTGAAGTTAGGAAGCTGGCGGTATTTCAGTCCCGTTCCTCTGAGAATACGTGAAGCGGTGCTGCGCCGAAAAAGAGTACTGAACACTCTCTTTAAATATCCCGTAAAGCAAATTGACTTCATTCCCCACCGAAACCACAAATTGTCCATCTCTATTTAAAATGCTCAATTTTTATGTGATCGGTGGTAAAGGAATCGTCTAGGAAGTCTGTATGTGACGAATTAGAAATATTATGAGGATATGTAAAATCCGAAATGGTATTACGACTTCGTTTCTGCCATACCGCTCTCAAAAGGAAAAGAAAAAAAAGAAGAAAAGGGAAAATATGCCGCTGGTTATTAATCCATTCATTTATTTCCATCTTCCCAAGACAGAGATTTTTTTTCCGAACCAGTGTCAAAAGTAAATATGACTCTCAATAAAAATTACTTAAAATAAGGGGAAGACTGCCCAGCTGTGAGCTACATTAAGGTTGTATTATCATCATCATCATTATTATTACA